ACATCGATGAGAGAGAAACATCGATCAGCCGCCTCCTGGTACATGCCCTTGACAGGAATCGAACCCGGGACCTCTCAGTCCGCAGGCTGACGCTCTATCCACTGAGCCAAACCGGTTTCGGCTACTATAACTTTTTAAAAGAAAAACCATAATAAAAAATTATAATACAAGTAACTCAATCAAATAAATCAAAGATATGAGTGCCAACATCCTAAAGATAATACCAGAACTTTATAGATGAATACCTAAGGACTCTTAACCCTTCAGAGACAGGCATACAAACACAAAATTACACATAATTTCTGGCAGAGGATCCCTGAAATACATTCTTGGATCTCAGTTAAGGAGAGCTAATTTAAGTTACTAAGGATCATAAAAATGATATTTCAAATTCTCATTCAACAGATAGGTACTGAGGATATGATAGTGAACAAAAACTTAGGTGGAGGGAATAGAAATCTCTCTCACATTCACATACACACTAAGCAACTATTGCAAGCTTACCTCTAAAATGAGGTAAAATGGTTCTACAAGAGCTTATAAAAGGGGTAATGAAGGTCAAGAATGCTTTCTCTGAAAAAGTATGAAATGGACTAATGAGAGAAACAGTTAAAAACAATAGCATAGGCTCTGTAGATGCTGTGCTAAATCAGAGGTGGGGAATGTCTGGCCCAAGAGCCGTACAAAGCCAGTGAAATCATTCAATCTGGTCCTGCCAAGGTATTAGGGGTGAGTTAATTAAATGTTTAACCAAATATAGCAGGTTAATTTTTAAGCTGATAATTTTGGATGGCTCTCAAATGATGTTTTTATAAATATCCAAATGACCCTTGGCAAAAAAAACGGTTCCCTACCCCTGTGATAGATGGTGGAGGAAGGCCAGTGTAGTAGAAGAGACAGAGGTGGGGTGTTGGGGGTGGGGAGTGGTATAATAGAAGATGGAGAGATTGGCTTTATTTAGATAGGTCTTGACAAAAAGCAATAGGAAAAATCATCAAATAGGTTCTAAGCAAGGGAATCACATGATTAAGTTTGTTTTGAAGAGAATACTTCAGCTGCATTAAAGGGAGTGACAAGGTAAGATTTATGTTTTGAAGAGAGCACTCCAGCTGCACTACAGAGATGAGATTGGAGGGAAAGAAGAATCCCAGGTAAGTAGCTGGGACAGTACAGTAGTGCTGGTGGGAGGTATAACATGGACTAGGATAGGGGTAGTAATGAAAAAATCTGAAAGACAACAGTGAATTTGAACTTTTTTTCAGGTACATTTCTTCTTTGAAAGAGTTAATTCATTTATTTTACCAATTTTCTATGAGACGGTTCCTCCTAATTTTCATGAGGTATTTTACAGTAATGGCATTAGCCATTTATCTGTCATATCTGCCCTAGTTCTTTTCCTAATTGGTGTTGTCTCCCTCCCCTCTTTAGGATGTTTTTCAAATTTTATGCAGACAAATCTTTATCTGCTTTTCCCTCTGCAGTTTTCCTCCCATTAAGATTATACCATCATGTCTACTTTTCCCCCCACCTTCATATTAGAACATGTAAGATTTACTTTACTAGGTGTACCAGTTAATAATGCGGATTTTTCTCAATAGATGAAGTTACATATATGTTGACATATATGCGATTTGATATGTATGCTATTTTGTTGTATTCACAGCAAGTTTCAAAACTTCATATGTCAAATTTGCTGAAGGAGTTAACATCATAGATATTTCTACGCTTAAAAATGTTGAATTTTGTGCAAAAAAAGAGTATTTGCAGGAAGTTTTAATTCATTACTTTTTTTGAAGAAAAAGTTATCGTATACTTTAGGAAGCTTATGGTGAAAATGCTGCATCTCAAGATACTTGTGGCCCTAACCGGTTTGGCTCAGTGGATAGAGTGTCTGCCTGCGGACAGAAGGGACC